GGGTAAGGTGGGGGACAAGGATGCAGAACCAGGCAAATTCTCAAGCATGGTTGGTGGGAATTTAAGCTGGCACAGACCTGTGCAAAACACAATGCAGTTCCTTAAACTGAAGGTGAACCACCATATGGTCCAGGAGTGCCATTACTGGACACTCTCATGTTTACTGAATTAGTATTCACAATTGCAAAGATATCGTGGTAGGTGAATGAATAAAAATGTTATAGATACAATTCAATATTCTTCAGCTATAAAATAATGAAATAATGGCATTTACAGAAACATTAATGGCTCTGGAGCAAGTTGGTAAAGAAAGACAGCATATGTTCTTACTGTTATCTGGAAGCTAAAATGTTAATATCTCAAAAGGAGAGGATTGAATCATGGTTGCTAGAGCTTGCGGAGGGGGGGGTGCATTTTGAAAATTTCAAATACAAAGAAGTGATGTCGGAGTTAGTAAGATATACTATTACCTGACTGTCGAAGTGCATCAGTTAGCAAAGTAATGTGCGGAGCTGGATCCCTAGAACCATATAACCCTGACGTGATGATAGCTATGACTGAAATTCCAGTTCTTAGGAGGAAGAAACAGGACAATCAGATGTAGTTAGTCATCTTCAGCAACACAGGGACTTTTGAGGCTAGCCTGGTATACACAGAGCTGGGTTTTAAAACAAAAACAAACATATACCAGTTTCTCTGATCCCATTCATATATATTGAGTACACAAATTGTTACACCGTGTCACATACATGAAATTATTGTGAAGTATTTAAAATGTTACATGATACCTTGTGTTTGAGAAAAAAATACCTTATTTCCCTCCACCTATTGACTTCTTCATAAAGCACCTACTTAGTTACTTTTCTGTTGCTGTGGTAAAATTCCACAGCAAAGCAAATTAAGGAAGAAACAGTTTATTTTGGCCTATGTTTCCAGAGGGATAAGAGTCCATTGTCCATTATGGCAAGAAGGCATGTAGGTATGATGGCAGAAGCAGAAGCTGTGAGGTCATGTCTTAACTACCAGCATGATGCTGAGAGCAAACCGCCAGCGGGCAAAGGCTTTTTAATCTCAAAGCCCAGATCCAGTGACTGACTTCTTACAGCTAGAATGTATAGCACCTCAGCCTTCCCAATGACAACAATGGGGACTAAGTGTTCAAAGACCTCAGACTGTAGGGGACATTTCTCATCTAAACCACCACCGCAGTGTCATTAGCCATTTTCTGAGAATGTTCAAATACATTTAAAAGTACAACTGAAATTATTCTACCATACCTATCTATGAAATTTACTGTTAATGACATTCCACTAGGGACTATGGGCTTGGTTTGTTTTTTTAAGAAAATCTGATATAATATACTACAATTTTCCTTTTACTATGAATTCATTTCACACACACATACATTCGGATGTGTGTGTGTGTGTGTGTGTGTGTGTGTGTGTGTGTGTGTGTGTGTGATAACCAGGTTCTGGAATCAATTAGAGTTGATTAGAGGTGAAGGGTGTGGGATTTGTTTTGAGTCTAGATGATAAGCCGGGGCTAGAAAGGCAGCGTTCAAGAGTATTGAAACAACTCCAGTATGGATATTCAGTGAATACTTACTGTCCTTTACTAGCAGTTGGGTTAGACTATGAAGATTCAAGAGTAAACCACGGTCAGCATTTAATTATTTCTTGTTTTTTCAGTCACCACTTCAGAGAAGATAAACAAAAACACAAAAGGCCTCTACAGTAACCAAAAGGTAATTACTTAATGATTGCAAATTCTTACTAATATCCCTCATAAACTGACGGGTAAATTTCATCTGCTTGTTAAGTGTGCCCTCTTACTGTTATGTTTTTTTGCTACAGGACTATCATCGATAATACATCTGGGTTATGGTTTCACTGTTTTTGCCTGGGACTGCTGGTTTTTTTTTTAATTTCGTTTTGCAGTGCAGCAATCCCGTGTTACACGTAAACATACCTCCTCCACCATCTCCACTTTGTGTTTTAGTCATCTTGAGGGTGTCTTAAAACGTGTGCTTTTGATGTGTGGAGGGGGGTGAAGTCACGTCGAGGCTTGGCACTTCCAGCTAACTCTTGTGGGGGTCACCCTGCCCAAGGCCAGGAGGAGACCGTGAGGGCTGCCACTAGTCCCGCGTCCTCTCTGCGGGCCTAGGAGCGGTGGTGGCCGGGGATACTTGGGCCCTTTGGCTTTGCTTATAATTGGCAAGGAGGCTCCATTGCTACAAAGCGGCGACTCCTTTACACGGGTTTCCGTGGGGTTTGCTTCCACCAAGCGCAGGAAGCGGGAGCCGGACGAGAAGGTGGACACGGGGGACGGG